TTGTACCCAGATTTATATATACTTTGCCATTTATATAAAAAATAAAACAACTCTTCACTAGATCATACAACAGACACACCAAACCAATCCTGTGCTTTTCAAGCACAAAGGCATTCCAAGAATTGGCTACTAAAACTAGAAAAAAAAAAACAATCGAAACTCTTTTTTAAATTATTTTTCCTTTTTCCCCCTTCTTCATTTCACTAAATCTCAAATCTGTGAAACTGAGACAAAGACCCCAAAACAGACATGAGGTATCAAATATTAACTTCTGACTTGTTTCTGTTCAGATATAAACTTGACAATTAGCTCTGACACCTCTTCATATAAGCATCAGCATGTCGTGGGAAATATGACTTCCTGCATGAGAATTTAAAAAGCTGCCCACCTAATTCAAAATAAAGTTCAAACAGTCAACGTACTTTAGCTTATTAGGACCTGTACTTTAAAAAATATTATCTAATCTCAAAGGGTGTACCTCAGCTCCAGAGGTACTTTCCTTGTAAATTTCCATATTAGAAAGGAATATTGTGTTGTAGCAGACGAATCCCTGTCTGCTTATACTACTATTTCTTTCTTTTTTATAACAGAAATGATGTTGTCACTCACAGTAAAGTACTGCACTGTGTTTCAGTGGTAGTGGGAAGTATAAAAAAGCTACTGGAATTAAGTTAATCATGTTAAGATTAAGCATTAACATGAATCTATTTAATTGATTGGGTTTATGCTTTAAAATCTACTGAAGATAAAAACTAGCTTTACAATTTGCACATTTAGAGTTCAGATACTTCAATTTTTAGGTTTTTGTCCTTTTTAAGGACATTAAGGTTGATCTATGTTTTTGCCTTATCCTGATATGATGCTCAAGTCAAAGTCTGGCTTGGGTTCTTTGTCAATGTGACCAGCTCTACTTTCATGCTGGTCACAGAATGCAAACATAGGCAAATATACAGCAAAATGCCATCCAAGCTCATGAATAGCAGCACTTGGATGGATTTTAAGGACTTAAAGTAAAAAATGAACTAACACTTACATTTACACTTTCAAAAAATGTAATCGCTTGTTCATCAATAGACAGCAAGGAAAGGTAAAATACAAGGTTCTGCAGGCACAAGCATATTGATTTAAGATTTTCTATAGACCCATTTGAGCTCGATGTTGAGCCCTTTTGATCCCAACACCCCCAATTCACCAGTAAGCACTGGGCTATTTGCTGCCATCAAGGTAACAAGCCCAGTTTATACCTTGACTTTGATCTATTTACGTCATATAAATGTATAAAAAAAAAAAAAATACGGACCTGAGCTGTAATAGTGAAAACTCGGTATCAACATCCTCAAAAGAAAATGTGTGAAACCATTTTCATAGCACCACACAATATTACAGAATAGGCAGGAAGGTACTTAAAAGTATAAACTTTGATGTTTAATTATTCCTCCTCATGCCAAAAATAAATTATGAAAAGAAGCATTCTCTTTGGCAAAATGTTTAGAACTTGTAGAACTTGGCTGTAATGAGTGAAAGCCAAAAGATTAAAAACAAAAAACAAAACAAAAAACGGAGGCTTGTTTGTCTAGGTCAAAGTGCATAGACCTCTTCAATCTATTATTTTAGAACTTTTCTACCATCAGTGTACCATCCGCTATATGTTTCAAATTCATGTGAATAATAGGAAGAGCAGCCACACTCCAAGCAGTCACGCAACATGGTGCATCTTTTTTCAGGTCTACGT